AATGAAAAAAAGACAGAGTAAAGGAAAAAAAAGAATAAATCGAGAAACTGGAAAAAAAGCAAGACAAAAAGGGGAATAAAAGAAAACAAAACAAAGAAACAAAAACAAAAAACAAGAAAAATGAAACATCCTCAGGGATGTCACTGTGCGTCTGTGCAGAGTAAGGGAGTATCTCCCACGCCATGTGGCAATGCCCGGCCAGAAGGGGTTCCTAAGCCGAGAAAAGAAAAAGAAAACAATCAAACAAATCAAAATAAACAAGTGAGAACAAACAAACAAAAAAAAGCCCCGGGGGTCCCAGCAGCACAGTGCTATGGGCTGGGAAGCAGTTCCACAGTCAAGCGGTGCCTCGCAGTCCCCCAGGAAGAAGCAAAGATGGCCACAGAGCCAGGTATTTGAGAGAAAGGAAGGGGAGGTGGTGAGAGGTAAGGAAAAAATCTAATGATGCAGAAAAAAGCAACACTAGCAGCCAACAGATGGCACTCAGGGAGCTGGCCAGCGTGGGCAGGTGGAATCCAAGTGACACCGGGGTGAACCTCGTGCTTCCCAGCCAAGAGTCTATGGCTGCAGGAAGCAGAGGAGGTCGAGTGGGGGTGAAGAAGGGCGGGGGCTGGGAAAGTGTGTATCGTTTGTTACTGGTTGCTCTGTCTCCTGCTGGAAGCTCCGTTAATCTGCTTTCTCATACCCCCTGTTCAACAATTTCTGATATGAGTCCAAGATGGGGGATCCGTGCTGCGGTAGCTGATAGGGGACCGCTGTATGTATCTCTCCTTGCTGTCTGTTCCCAGTCAGTTCCTTATTCCATTTGGTGCTTGGCTGAGTTATCTCTTCATTTGATGCTTAGGGTTTCAGGACTGACGTGTGACTCTGTTTGACTTGGTTTTTCAGATCTTTGCTGTGGCGGGATGGCGTGGTGCTTCTGACTATAGTGCCATATTGCCCAGAAGTCTTTCTTTTTTTTTTTTTTTTAAATATGTGCTATGATCACTTTGGGCTACAGATACCGTTCTAAGTATGATTTCCTTAGATAACTATTATAGGCCTGGTGGCGCAACAGTTAAACACTCAGCTGCTAACCAAAAGGTTGGCAGTTTGAACTTACCAGTTGCTCTGCAGGAGAAAGATGTGGTAGTCTGATTCCATAAAGATTATAGCCTTGGAAACCCTACGGGGGCAGAACTACTCCGATCTACAGGGTCACTATGACTCAGAATTGACTCGATGGCAATGGGTTTGGTTTTCTGGGTAGACAAACATTAAAGACGATTCGGGTATGCTGAATGTTGGGATACACAGGGCAGTAGTCAAAACATTCAAATCTGCCACACATTAACCACAAAGTTTATTATTTGTGACTAAACACTGTCTGAATTTAAGTTACTAAAATAGATACTTATTTCACAATGTAGAGACAAATAAAATGAATTACATATATGTAGTAGATTTGGATTTTCTTTAAGAGAACACTAACTTCTATTGATCTGGGGCAAACAAAACATATTTTGAACCAAGTATGATTAAATGAAATGAAATTGAGTACATATTACTACAAACATCTCCTAAAAGGTAGATTTAGAAAAAACAAAATTGTGGAAGTTTAAAATGACCACCCTGCTTCCTGAAATGTCTCCCTATAGCTCAATCTCCAAGCAGTAGTCAGGGTGATCTTTTTGATCATACTATTTCCCAATTAAAACTCTTTAATGGTTTTATATTACAATCAGCATAAAATGTATATAGCCCTAGGTAATCTGGCCCTAACTCTGATATTTCATCTCCAACCACTTCCTCTCACTCACTGAGCTCCAGCTACCTTGACCTTTCTCTTCCTGGATTACATCAAGTTTGCTCCCATCTCAGGTATTTTGAATTTCTCTACCTACATGGCTCTTATGCCAGATCCTAGGTGAGGCACTCCCTCCCCACCACCCCCAGTCATCATTAAGCTCTCAAGTAAAATGCTGCTTCTTCACACAGACCTTTCCAAACCACCCTAGCTAGAGTAACCCCATTCTTTCACAGGTCAATCTTTACCAAATTACTCTGTTCTGCTATCTTCCTATTACTTCTCATTGTGGTTAGCTGCCACTGAGTTGGCCCCCAACTCATGGTGACCCTGTGCACAATGGGATTGGAGACTGTGATCCAAAGGTTTGCACTGGCTGATTTTCAGCAGTAGATCACCAGGCCTTTCTTCCTAGTTTATCTTATTCTGAAAGCTCCGTTGAAGCCTGTTCAGCATCATAGCAACATGAAAGCCTTCACTGACAGACGGGTAGTGGTCGCACTTGAGGTGTTTTGGCGGGAATCAAATTTAGTTCTCCCACACAGAAGGCAAGAGTTCTACCACTGCCCCCTAGTACTTATTACTATCTTGGAAATGTTACAAAATTTGAAATTTTTCCACTGTTTGATCCTTTATATTGTTGAATAGTCTTAGAAAATGGAATCTGGAGTCATGTACTTCTTGCTAATTATTAAAACTCACCAGTAATGGTACAAATTGATTCTGGATTACTTTCAAGCTGTTTTTTTACTATATAATAAAGGGATAAATGTGCTTCCATTCCCTACCATTTGTAGCATAACTACCATCGGTTGAATGATGATGATACTGCTATCATGATAATGTTATAATGATAACAGCAGCAAAGATTTAGAGAGGTTTCTATATATAAGGCATCTTTTAAAAAAGTGCTTCACATGAATTTACTCACCAAATCCTTACAACTCTTTGAGGTAAATGCTAATAATATCCCCATACTACAAATGAGAAATCTGAGGCCCAGAAAAGTTAAGTAACTTTCCCAAGGGCACGCAGATAGTAAGTGGCAGAGCCAAGATTCAAACCGAGGCAGTCTGGCTTAGAGCCTGTGCTCTTAACCACTACCTTATAATGATCTTTCTGATGTTAGTGAAACGTTTTATGTAATTTACCCATATAAGAAAAGGGGACGATGAGAAAAGAAATAAGTGAAACTCAAAAAGGCCATGTGACTTGTCCAAGGTTACTGGCTCTAACGCCAATCAGTATTTCACCTTCTGTGTTATCTTTCCACTCTTAAAAAGTTTGGGGAGGGGGGAGGTTAAGAACATCCAATTGCCTGTGCAAATACTTAAATTCAGAATGAATATTCATTCTTTATACTAACTATCTTAATTTGAGGTTTGCTTTTTTAGCTCAATAAATAAGATGAGGTCTCAGATTTGACAAAGGAAAGACAATGCCCTTGGATTTGCTGGAGGGGGATGGGTAGGGATGAAGGCAATTTCATTCAATCTTCAGGCTTTAAAAATTACCAAACCTAACAGACACACTTTAGCTTTGATTTTTCTAACTCTCTCTGGCCTAGGTCACTCTCTCCTTCCCTCTTAGAATTCTCTTGGCTTTCCTAATGCAACACAGTTTTCCTACATGACCCCATAAACCCTCACAGTTTCCTAAAAACATAGGAATTACCTAGAGGCTTCCTCCTATCATTAGTCAAATATAACTGGCCACCAGGTCCTGTCAATCCACCTACTTACTTCCCAAATCATCTTCTCTTTTCTATCCTCATACCCATAGTTCAGCCCTTATTAAACCTCAATAGGATTGCAGCAATATTCCCCTAACCTGCGTTACTCTCTCTATCCGTATCCATTTTAATTTATCTTCCCCAAGTTTCCAGTGTGAGCTCTCTTAAACACAAATTTGAAAACGTTCTTTTTCTCCTTAAACCCGTGGTTTCTTATTATCTACAGAAGACTGCCTTAAAGTATCATATTGGGACATTCACTTCAGAATCTAAAAGGTGCTTGTTGAAATTTTTGGAGTGGGGCTCAGGAACCTACTTTTTTAATTTCTCAAGTGAGTACACTGAACTTTGGGGGAACCACTAAGCTGTAGGATTTAAGGTCAACCTCTTGGAAACTTCATGTAAGATTCAATAATCTGGTTTCTGCCAATCTTTCCAGCCTCAAACTTCACTATTCCCTTTACATGCAACTTATGTACTAGCTGTGAGGCATTATGTCTACTTCTCCAAACACAGCTTACTGGTTTTTCTTCCATGTCTCTGGGCTTTGCAGATGCTGTTCCCTTTTCTAAGATGGCGTTCTCCCCTTTGTAAACCTATGAATGCACTCCCCAGAGTTCACTGTGAAGGCTTCTGACAGTGAAGGCACAGGGGCCTCTGCAGGGCTCTCACGGCATTCTCTGTGTAGTGAGTCTGACACCTATGAGAGCTCTGTCTCCTGCCACGACATTGTGAGCTCTGGGAAGGTTAAAATGGACTTAGTCATCTTTGACTCTCAAGCGTATGCTGGAATATGTATTTACACAACCAAAGATTTTAGAACGAATGATCAAGAAGAAAAAAGGATGAAAAACAGAAATAATGAGGTACCAGTAGAAATGCACTAATGTTCCTTGGGCTGAAGCTTGATACTTTCTTACTCTCCACACTGATTACATTAACCAACTTGACAAACACGATCGAACTTTATTATCATTTGATATAGAGATTATACACCAATATTTACCACTAAAAGGCTTCAAAGATGTTTTTAATAACTCAAAAATTTCTACTCTAACTAAATCTCTCTCTTTCCAAACTTAAAAGAAAACAAGTGATCATTAGAAGCATATATTTTCAATGCTCAGTCCATAGTCTTTCAAGATATTCCTATGAAAAACTATCAAACACTAGAAGCAATTTATCCAATTTATGTTCAGCATGTCAAAAGATTTATTTCACTTAGACTCTGACCAAACTCTTTATTCCTCCTTAGTGATTAAACAGATGAACAGCAGTGAAAGATGATCCTCAATAATGTGGTATAAATGCACAAAAAAATATTTTTCTTAACATGAATGTTGACAGTGGTAGTTTAAAATTAAATAAAAAACAAAAACAAAAAACAACACTGTTCTAACGGCCATTTGAGGGCAGAATGAGAGAAGCCGAAGTGTTCGAACCCTGGTGCACCGCTTAGATAAGCTCCCAGGAGGAACTCACCCTGCTGGCCCTGGGGCGTCTGTGAGATGATAAACTGCGCTGGTTGCAAGTTGGTGGTTGGATGTACCAACACAAACTGTTGCAGGTTGAGATTCTGCTGTTGAAGCTGTTGCAGCTGTTGCAGATCCTAAAAAATTAGAATTAAAACACAGATTGGAGATTCTGAAATAAAAGCTCATGTAATCGTAAGATTCCCAGCTGATAAATTGTATCACATCCAAATAAAGAAGGGTCAATATTTAACATTCTTTCATACTTCCAAATGTGGTGTGTTTCACAAAGTGTGAGAAGAAACCTGGAGCCCCTGCAAGGGGCTTAAGATTTTTATGGGCATATATTATGTAATGACTTACTCTACGCCTACTTTTCAATAGTTATTTATAAGCATCTCAGAACCAATCATTAGTTATTTTTTTTTTAAAAAAAAACATATACAGACAAATATGGGTTTAAAAAAATCAAGTGAGAAAAGCGAATGTTGCATTTCAAAATATTTGATTTTTCTCTTGTTACACAAAAATTGAGTGTTGCGTCTGAATTTGCATCAATAAATTAAAACACCTATAAAAATTCACAAAATATGACACCAGCTTATCTAATTCAACTAAGAAATCAGTGTAAAAAAATTTTTTTAAAGAAAAATAGCTAGCCATATAAAAATCTGATCCATAACATAACAGCACCTTACACTGGCATAGTGTTTTATAATTTTCAAAGTGCTTTCATTTACATTAACCTATTACCCATTGCTGTCGAGTTGATTCTGACTCATAGCGACCTATAGGACAGAACAGAACTGCCCCATAGGGTTTCCAAGGAGCAACTGGTGGATTCAAACTGCCAACCTTCTGGTTAGCAGCTGTAGCTCTTAACCACTATGCCACCAGGGTTTCCAAAAACAAACTCGTTGCTGTTGAGTCAATTCCAACTCACAGCTACACTATAGGACAGGGTAGAACTGCTCCATAGGGTTTCCAAGGAGCGACTGGTGGATTTGAACTGCTGACCTTTTGGTTAGGAGCCATAGCACGCCATAGCTCTTAACCACTGCACCACCAGGCACTACAAACATTTATTTGGTGATAAAGAAAGTAGCCAAAATCAAAACATTATCTTATAAAGTTTGTATATGACAGTAATAAAGATTAGGCTGACATCTATTCTTTACCCTTATAGTTAACTACTTGTTAACTTTATCATGCTTGGTGAAGTAGAGGGTCAGCAGAAAAGAGGAAGACCCTCAATGAGATGGACTGACACAATGGCTGCAATAATGCGCTCAAGCAACAATGATTGTAAGGATGGCGCAGGACTGGGCAGTGTTTCGTTCTGTTGTACACAGGGTTGCTATGAGTCAGAACCGAATCAACGGCACCTAATAACAACACAGTTAACTACAGGTAGTCCCTGACTTATGACATATTTGAGTTAAGAGGAACCGCACTCATGACCATTCTTTTTCTTTTTGTACATCTTACTGTTAATAATATGTACTACACACAATGTTGCGCACATAATTTGCTGATGCTATCATTCTCATGCCAACCCCCCTCAAAACAAATAAAGATTTATAAAGGTACTGATAATAAAAAGCAATAATACTGAACAGGTTAAAAAAAAATGAGGTATTCGACTTAGATCAGAATTGACTTAGGACAGAGTTGTCAGAACAGAACTTCGTCATAAGTCAGGGACTACCCAAAGTTCTTCCTGAATGTCTATCAAACTCTTGCCATAATTTAAATCCATTTATGAGTTCTTTCTGGGTTGTATAAAGACAACCGTCTAGCACTAGACTCATAAGAACCCTTCATATATTTTACTGATAAGACTAGTTACACCTTTTTTCCTCTTCTTGAGAAAAATGATTTCATTTACCTTTCCTTCTTAGTTCTACTATCTATGCCTCTTAGGTAACTTTTATTATCTCTGGACACTTTAGCCTAAAATACAGCATTTTAATACTTTTCTGCACTATGTTAAACACTCCACAGCAGAGAGATGAGTCCCCATCTCTCGCATACACATCAGTGACAATACACCCTTTCCTCATTTACCAACGTGGTTAGGTTCCAAACACCAGGTTGTTACAGAAATCGGTGTTATGCCAAAATGGAGGATGATCATATCAGATCACAAGACGGATGACGACTATACATCATTACATAACCACCAAGTTACACCATTACTTAACTGCCAAATTACATCATTAAATAACTGCCAAACCATTCAGAATCATGGCCCAGCCAAGTTGACACAAAACCTTAACCATCAAAGCCAGCGTTACTCTCACCTCGTACCTCGGTATTCATGACTGCCAGATGTATGTCGTTAATGCACAAAATAGTTGGATAGTAGATTTTTTTAGTATTGTCATAGATGCAAAATGTCAGATAACGAGATGTCGATAAGTGAGGAGAAGGTGTATTCACTGCAGAGCACATGAAAGAACCCATGCCGCCGCAATTAGCTAATTAAAATAAACACAGTAATCCCTTGCTTCAGGACGATGCCAGCTAATTATTCAAGAATCATCACTTAATATAAACAGTTATTCAAATAATCAGTTACGTGTTTATAATATCAACTCAAATAAGCAAACAATGCACTATTTCTAGTTAAGTGATAAGGAAGGGTACCACTCAGCTACCAATCTAGAACTCCTCAGGCTTCTAAGGGCCCACGCTAACAATGAGAAAATGCATTAGTATTAAAGAAAATCTGCCATTTTATTCCTCACTTCCTGCCCAGCTATAAGAATTACTCACTTACCTGTGCGATCTGTATGGGCTGGGACAGAGGGATCTGCGTCATGGGCGTGGCGGCAGAGGCTGAGATGGTGGCTCCAGCAGCACTGTGCTGTTGGCTGGCGGAATGCTGCTGCACTGCAGCAGCCAGCAGCTGGGCCTGGGCCTGGGCCTGCTGTAGTAGTAACTGTTGCTGGGCTGGTGTCAAAGTAAGCTAAACAAAATTAGGACAAATATTTGGAAAGAGCTGCAAGAGAAGTGTCCCGGATGCAAGTCAAACTGCTTTGAAATAGGTACTCAGGTGGTATTCTGCCTTAACTACTCAAGTTCACACGGTCGACATGTGTCTAAAATGTTCATCAGAGATCAAGCTACCATTACTAGGAGACATCAGAATTGAAATGGTGGACCCACACCAGACTTAAAACAATCATTCAAACTTGTCAAGGGCCCTAGGGTTCAGGCAAAAAGGTAATTAGCTAGTAAATAAGAAAAAAAAAAGAATCAATGCTGACAGGATATGAAAAGAAATTTACCCCCAACAGAACAGCAAGTGATTAGGCAGATGAATGAGGAACAAGGATGCTGGACATGATCACAGAAAGAAGTGATAAGGCGCAGCTGCTTCACATTAGCAAGAATCCCTGCTATATTCCATCATCTCCATTATGTCCTAAGATAAAACTAAAGAACATGAGCTCCATTTGTTTCTTTTCCAAGTCTCCCTATAGCCCCCTCCCAACACAATCTTTTCTGTTATTGAAAGGACTGAGCCTGCAACTTCACATCCCATTTCCAACACACTATCTCTGGGAAACAGGTGGTGAAAGCCTCTCTTTACATGCAGATGACTCCTAATGCCCAGGTTTAATAGACTCGCCATCCACACAAACTTGGAATCTCAAGTGCCTCTTACTACTGGAGACACTAGTCACTAAAAACAAAACCCAAGAGTAAAACAGGAAACATACTTAGAGCGGATTTAAACTTGCTGTCATAATGCAACTTATTTCAAACACACTCAAAGTTATAAGGGTGCTCTACCATCCTTTTGGTGACATGTTCTGATAAAAACAAAATGAAACAAAAAAATTTAATATTCTGAAGTGTATGTACTGTTAGGGGCACAACCCTCCTTCTAAAAGGCTCCAGCAAGATTTGTGCATCAAAATCAAACCATTCAAACGTTCAATACCTTTCAATATATATATTTATATTTTGACAAATGTATTTTTATATAACATATATACAAACATTAACCTCTACTGATGGGATTTTGTAACAATTTGCAACAATTCTTAAAAGAGCCTTCCACTGCCAAAACACACTTAACTGAAAGAAAGAAAATATAAAATTCTGGGGGTTGATGTAATATGAATTGAATAAACACACTCTTCCTTAAAACTCCCTTACGTCCCCTCCCCACATTAGAGAAATTCTCAACATTAGAAAAATATATGGCATGATGTCACAGATCAAAGACAGCTGAAAAGTTAAAAGCTTAATATATTCACACAGGCTAATTTATTATCAATAAAAATGACATTCATTGAATGCTGTATGTCGAGCACTGTTTTATGAACTTACATGTATTATCTCTCTTAATCTTATAACAATATGGTGAGATATGTATTACTAACAACATCTCCATTTAACAGACAGGAAAACTGAGGTACAAGGAAGTGAATTAATTAGCTCATACGGTAAGTTGCAGATACAGGATATGAGACCAGAGGCTTCATTTCAGAACACTACACGGTAACTTAAAGAAATGTTTTTCTTTTGCAGGAACTAATCTACTCGTTAACTTCCACCTTCTTGCAGTGATGTGATAACAACAATCTGACAACTGACATTTCATCAATGTAATGGTCTCAACCGAAGGATAATGACTGCATTGCATGATGAACCAATGGCTGAAATGTGGATGTAAAAAGTCCTTAGTTTATCTAAAGCATCTGTAAAAGATGACACCCTGAAAAATCCTGACAAAGATAATTTCTCTTTCAGAGCTGCCTGCCTAAAGTGCAGAAAGTTCCTTAAAGACACACTAGAGCCAGGCACAGCCACGTTACTGTCTATTATGTTAAACAATCCTAATGAGATATTGGCCAATGGCAGCACTGACAGAGAAAAACTCTTACAATTCTCTTGGTGAAAACTTACCCCGGTTATCTGTCCTCCAGCCAGCATAAGCTGTGTCTGGGGGATGGCTGCCTGCACTGAAGGCTGTTGGGAAGGCTGGCTTGGCTGCTGTGAATCCCCCGATTCTTCATTAGATTTAGACTGGAAGGGCAGGGGC